AGAAAAATTATTCTGAATTTTTGAAATTTCATAAATTGAAAAAGATTTGATGCTAATTTCTGAATTCTTCCTGCTAATCTTGAAAATTTTATCAATATAGAGTTGTATGAATTCTCCTTATTATCACTCTATTACTACTCTCATTATCACTCTATAACGTGTGAACATTATCTTCAAAATTATGCAGATAAAAAATCTGCAACTGATTATAAAAATTACTGTTGGTCGATTTTGGATAAAGTTGAATGTCCGGATTTGAAAAATGAAAATCGATACGCAAAACCATGGGTAACTTACCCACCTAAGTTAGGTTTCCTGCATGGTAAAGAGACATACGAATGAATTTTCACCAACAAAATCGGATCCAATTTGAGCTTTTTAATCGTAACAATCATATCCTTCCGATAAAAATGGAACTAGTTCGGTTTACTTCTCGGATTTTTCGTTATAAATAAACAAAGCGAACAGATAGGTAAACGCCAAGAAACGAACTGAAATCCTTTCAAAAGTGATTTTTCAAATGATAAGATTGTCACTTGTAATTATGAGAAGGGAATGCCCTATATTTTTTCTTATATCTAAATTCAGAAACAATTTTGCGGTTTACTTTTAGAAAGTATTATCCAAGTTGTTATCAGATAAAGTTCGGACAGCGCGTTATCGATCGTCGATCAAAGGACAAAATATAATAAAAAAAAAGTCAAACACAAGCTAAAGAAAGACGAAAATCTTTATTATCCAGTAAATCTCAAAATAATAATGAAAAAACAAGAACATGGTTAATGCTCAGATCAAAAGAACAACATGTTGTGTTAAGTTCTCACAATGATGTTGACTTAACAGCAAATGTAATCCAAGACAACGATGAGTGTCTGCTCCTATAAATTGATAATGAGATAGAAAGATTGGGTATGCTGTTTTTATAAATCTTATTTTTACGATTTTCCACTAGAAGAAGAATTTTTCCTGCATCTTCATTGGATAGGTAACAGTCTTTTATCCACAACGGGACAGGAGAATTCATACAACTCTATATTGATAAAATTTTCAAGATTAGCAGGAAGAATTCAGAAATTAGCATCAAATCTTTTTCAATTTATGAAATTTCAAAAATTCAGAATAATTTTTCTTAATTCGAGACTTCAGAAATTGGAATCGTCTAGTCGACAATTTGAGAAATATTCAAGGATTCAGAAATAAACATCAGGCTTTTTCTGAATTCAACAATTCAGAGACACATTTTATTTTTTTCAATTCAAACAATACAAAAATTCAAAAATTTAAAATGTGACTTTTTATCAATTTCTTGAATTTGAAAAAGTTAAAAATTCTTTGAATTTGTATCTAGTTGGTTTGAGCAATTCTTGGAATTCAAGTAAAGTTTAAATCAGAAGAGAAGAAAGAAACGAGCAAACAACAAAGCACATTGTTTCAATGTAAATTTTAAACTCAGAGAAAAAGAAAAGGTTTTTTTATTAAAAGAAAAGAACGCAGGCAAACCAAGTGTATCTTTTTCTTGTTCTTCAAACTTTATAATATAAAATAGATAGTACTTATGCACAATACTTTTTGAAACAAAATCATCTTGGTTACTGGTAAAGGGATAAACAAGGAGATAAATGTCGTACATTAGAATCAGTGAGATAAACAAAAAAAATAAGATAAATATATGGTTGGATAACCCAACATGTTCTCTTCCCAGTGCAAGAATTTTTATGCTCTAGTGTGGCTTTTCATGGTTTTACACAGGTTATACTGAAAATGCTAGATGTAGATTCTTTTCTCTTACTTTCCGATCAATCTATGCTTGTACCACTATATTTGTAGTACATGTCTCTGTTGATCGATGTTCCTCCGACTCTATATTATCGAAAACGTCCAGTGAATTTTGTTTTGGCAGAGCTCCCCCTCCCAGTTTTCTCCACCACTGTATAGAGGACAGTCTGAAGTATATATTCTGCAATTTTTTCGAATTGAAATTTTAGTTTTAGACAAGAAAAATTTTTGAACTTTCTTTAAAGTTTTTTTCCTGAATTTTAAAGTTTAAATAAAATCTTTGTTTTAAAATAATACTTGCTTCTTGTGTCATCGGATAGAAGAAATCAGTTGTATGTAGAAAAAAGTGTTCACCGTTCCAGAATGAAGTTTACGTAAAGATTCTAATTTTACCTTCCTAACGGGTCTAAAAGTATTTTGGAGCAAAATTGTGGCTGCTTGAAATTCCTTAAACTAGATTTAATCGAGCCGTCAGCAAAGTCTTATTTCACAAAAAACAACATTCTGAAAAACTTTTGTATCCACACCTTTGTTCCAAAACTCTTTCTTAAAGCGGAACTCTGTTCAAGGCTCTCGCCGATTTCAAGACCAAGATTTTATCAAAATCGGCTGGAGAAAACCTCATTCTCTTCGGTTTTTGACGTTGCCGTTGGATTCAGCATATCACACTGTCCATGCGCAGCGCCTTTCAGATCCCATGTCACTTTTACGAAACTCAGCGAAAAAGTTAGCATAGATCCGAAACTTGAGCACTTTTTGAAATGCATGGACGGTTTTTGTATTGTCTACTTCAAAAATTGAGTTTAAGGTACTAAGATTTGCCTAAGTACTATCTCATGTAAAACTGGATGCGGAACAACTTTTTCATGTATATTTTGGATTCAAAACGCTACTTAGAAGAGAAACTGTGAGTAAAAAGTATATGTTTTACATTGTAATCTCGTTTTCATACTTAATCATCCTTTGATTAGGTCGTCATATTCTGAAGCTTCCATCTCGATCGTACGTGTAGTTTGAGAGACAGGTTTCTAAAGTAGGGCTGAGAATAAAAGACTTGGAAGTAATTTTTAAAACATTTTCTCATTAGATCATATACTATTCTAGACCAACATCTTGACAATTAATCAGTTTTTCTCTAAAAGTATTATCGAAGATATTATCATTGTTATATACAATGAATGACGATGAGTACGTACGTTTCACGCAACAGTCAGATATTGATTTAAGTAAAAATATACTAATTTTAAATAAAAATGAAAAACTAATAATCATTTGGTTTGATGCTAAAGTTGATGAACAAATGGGACAAACATTAAAACAATTACATGATAATATTATTTTATGTTGTACTATTGATAAATTAATCGATTCAATCCATCAAATACAAAATCAAAAAATCATTTTAATTGTATCTGGTCTGCATTCACGTCAAACACTGATATTAACACATTTAAATTCCAGAATTGATTCAGTTTATATATTCTGTATGAATAAACAATTGTATCAGGATCTTTTAGATAGTAAAAACTATCCAAAATTAATTGGAATTTATACCAGCTATGATCAATTATTCAAACAATTAGAAAAACAAATTCGTACAGTACTAAATCATTTATCAATATTTACATTGTTCGATAAACACAATAAATCAACAAGAGATTTAGAACAAGAATCTACCGTATATTTGTTGTATCAGGTATTACGCGATACATTAATGAAATTTGAAAGTACAAAAAACGAACAATCGAA